TCGCCTCGCGCCGTTCCTTGTGTCTTCCTTGGTTTCCCTGAGGACTCCTCTGACTTCACCTTTTACCACCCTCCCTCTCACCGGTTCTTTGACTCCCGTGACGTCCGTTTCGAGGAGTCCACCCCGTACTACGTCAGGTACCCCAGTCGAGGTCTCCCGGTTCCTCCTCCCCCCCTCTTCCTGACAGCCGCTCCCCCGCCTGCTCCCCCGGTACAGCCTCCCCCCCCTGGTCCAGCCCCGTCTGGTGTGTCTCAGGCTAGCCCTCCCCCTTCGGTAGCCCCCCCTGTACAGCCTCCCTCCCCACAGTCTTCCTCACCGCCTCCTGTAGGTGCTCCCTCTCGGGAGGTTGGTCCTGCGACTGTCCCTGTACAGGTCTCTGGTTCTGGGGGTGCTGGAGTTGGAGCTGAGCCGCGGGTTGCAGAGGACTCTTCTCCTCCGGGGGCTGGTACTGGTCGTGCGGAGTCTGGGGGTGCTGGTGCTGCGTCTGGGGGTGAGGGTGTTCCTTCGGTTTCTGGAGAGCCTGGGTCTGGAGCTGGTGTTGGTGCTGCCTCTGGGGGTGGTGTGCTTGGTGCTTCGGAGGTCGACTCTGGGGCTGCCGCTGCCCCGGACACTACTCCTTCCCCCCACCCCTACCCGACCAGGTTCCAGGCTCGTGTTCGTCGTGCTCGTGAGGAGCAGCTGGAGTTGGAGAGAGAGGAGAGAGAGTTGCAGCGGCTCGAGGAGCAGGAGCGACAGCAGCAGGAGCAGCAGCAGGAGCAGCAGCAGGGGCAGCAGCCGCTGGAGCAGCAGCAGCCGCAGCAGCCGCAGCAGCCGCAGCAGCAGCAGCTGCCGTCTCCTCCTCCTGTCTCGGGTCTTCGGACCCTTGGTCTCCCGTCTCCCTCTCCTTCCTCCTCCCCCTCTCCTCCCGTCTCTGGTCCTCCGCTTCCTCCTCCTGACCCCTCTCCCGCTGTTTTCCCTCGTTCTCAGTCTTCGTTGTCCCCTCCTCCTTCTCAGACTTGGGCCTCTCGTCGCTCCCCTCGTGCTCGTCCCTCGTCTCCTGTTCCCTTCACTGACCTTCGTACTGCCTTACTTCGTTCTAGTCCACCTCGTCCGTCTCCGTCTGTGCTTCCGTCTCCTCCTGAGTCGGCTCTCACTGCGTCGCTCCCTACTCCTGTCACTGACTACTACCGCACGTACCGTCCTGTTCTCTCTCGTGTTCTCGCCTCTCTTGTTACCCACCCTCGTGCCTCTGTGTCCTCTGTGTCCGCTCTTACTGCCGCAGTCACTGAGTTTGCCTCTACCCGCCGCCTTGACTTCGCCACCGCTCTTGTGGCTGCTCCTCCTTCCAGTCCTCTGGCCGTCGGGGGTGTGTCTGCCCTTGGCTGTGACGCCCTAGAGGACAGGCAGTTTGAGCTAGAGTTCCTGGCGGTCGCTTCCCCTCATCTCTGTGCCATGCTCCTCGCCCCTGAGGGTGACCCCGACGCCCTTGACATTCCGACTCCTCGCACTTACGCTGAGGCAGTGTCAGAGCCTTGGGCCTCTCAGTGGAGAGCTGCCATGGACGCAGAGATGGCCTCCTACAGATCCACAGGCACCTACGTCGATGAGGTTCCCCCTCCGGGGGCGAACGTAGTCGACGGCATGTGGATCTACAGGGTGAAGCGGCCACCGGGATCTCCTCCGGTCTTCAAGGCGCGCTACGTGGCTAGAGGTTTCAGTCAGCGCGAGGGAGTTGACTTCTTTCAGACCTTCGCGCCCACCCCGAAGATGACCACTCTTCGGGTGTTACTACACGTAGCAGCACAGAGAGACTACGAGTTACACTCTCTCGACTTCTCTACTGCTTTCCTTCAGGGCAGTCTTCACGAGGAGGTCTGGTTGCGTCGTCCCTCTGCCTTCACTGGCTCTTTCCCTCCTGGGACCCAGTGGAGGCTGAGGCGACCGGTTTACGGTCTTCGTCAGGCTCCTCGTGAGTGGCACGACACCCTGCGTTCTACCCTGTCTGACCTTGGGTTCCAGCCGTCTTCTGCTGACCCGTCGCTGTTCGTTCGTCGTGGCACCACACCTTTCTTTGTTCTGGTCTACGTTGACGACCTTGTTTTCGCCACCCCTGACAGGGTTGCTTTGGCACACGTGAAGTCCGAACTGCAGAAGAGACACACCTGCACTGATCTTGGTGAGCTGCGCCACTACCTTGGCCTGCAGATCACTAGGGACAGAGCTGCTCGCACCATTACACTTTCACAGTCGCACATGGTGCAGCAGGTCCTTCAGCGGTTCGGGCTTCAGCACTCCACAGTACAGCGCACACCTCTTGCTGTTGACCACAGACTCACTGGACCCTTTCCTGACGAGCCGTTCGAGCCTAGTGGTCCCTACGCAGAGCTTGTGGGTTGCCTCATGTACCTGATGACTTGTACTCGCCCGGACCTCGCCTTCCCTCTCAGCGTTCTTGCGCGCTTTGTTGCGCCAGGGAGACACCGTCCTGTTCACTGGACAGCAGCTGTGAGGGTGGCGAAGTACCTAGCGACGACGTCAGGCGTGGGGCTAGTTCTTGGAGGGCAGCAGTCTGTCGTACTTACTGGTCACTGTGACTCCTCTTACGCTGACGACGCTGAGACTCACAGGTCTACTCAGGGGTACTGTTTCAGCCTGGGTTCTGGAGCTGTTTCCTGGCGGTCCACGCGCTCCTCTTCGGTCTCGACCTCTACAGCTGAGGCTGAGATCTACGCTGGTGCCATGGCGGCACAGGAGCTGCGTTGGTTGACCTTCTTGCTCACCGACCTTGGTGAGCGGCCGAGCTCTGCACCGACCTTGTTTACTGACAACAAGGCGTCTATTCTCCTTTGTCGAGAGCCACGACTGGAGAGCAGAGTGAAGCACATTCACGTCAGGTACTTTCTTCTGCGAGAGTTGCAGAGGCGTGGACAGGCTCGCTTTGAGTTTGTGGAGTCCGAGGCCAACACTGCAGACATCTTCACCAAGGCGCTTCCGCCTTGTGACCACCAGAGGTGCTGTGTGCAGTTAGGCCTTGTTGACACTGGTTCTCGTGTTGCTTAGACTTGAGTGTACTGTTTACTTTGCTTTCTATATATCTCTGTTACTTCTTGGACTGGCCTTGTGGCCACTGTTGTTTGTGCTCAGACTGTGTGGTGACGTTGTGATCCACCCTGAGCTTTGTTTCTTGGACTGGTCTTGTGACCGTACTCGTTTGGTTCTGCTAGACACCCCTCACTTAGGCTATGGGGGTGTGTCAAATGTTGTAGCCTATAGTGAGGTTTGTCTTAGGGGGTACAAAACTTAGGGTTAGCTATATGTACCCCAACCAACATCAATGCACCATCCATTCTTCATTTTGACAGCGAACTGTACGGGTAGACCTGCTACACTGAGCGTACCACTCCTGGAGCTGCCGAGGCGTAAGTGGCTCGCGTGGACGCCCCTGCAGCTGCAGCTGGCCACTGCTAGACGCTCCCAACTGACCAGCCCCAGGGCGACAGCTACGACGGCTACCGCGACAACCCCAGCTAGTATACCACTCACTAAGCTGCTGGGGCGTGAGAGGCTCGCGTGAACGTCGCTGGAGCTGCATCTGGCCACCTGCCAGTAGCAGTAGCAGCAGTAGCAGCGCGGGCAGGGCAGGCGTGGCAGGCAGGTAGGCAAGCAGGCAGGCAGGCAGGCAGGCAGGAAGGCAGGCAGGCAGACAGGCAGACAGACAGGCAGGCCGGCAGGCAGGCAGTCAGGCCGGTAGGCAGGCAGGCAGGCGCGCAGGCAGGCAGGCAGGCCGGCAGGCAGGCAGCCAGGCAGGCAGGCAGGCAGGCAGACAGGCAGGCCGTCAGGCAGGCAGGCAGTCGCTCACCAAAGGCTGGGAGAGCAGGCGCTCACCGGGCGAGCAGGGCCGGCGCTCGACAGCGGCGACGTCGGGGCCGCAACACCGGCTGCAGAGCAGGGCCGAAGCAGCTGCAGGGCGGGGCCGCTTCAGCGGCAGGTCGGGGCCGTGGCAGCTGCAGGGCGGGGCCGCATCAGCGGCAGGTCGGGGCCGTGGCAGCTGCAGGGCGGGGCCGCATCAGCGGCAGGTCGGGGCCGAGGCAGAGGGCCGCGCGCGGCTCGGCGCGGGCTGCGCTGACAGCGCGCTAAGCTGATGCAGGCCGCGCGCGGCCGCGCTAGGCAGTAGCGGGCCGCGCGCGGCTCGGCGCGGGCTGTTGCGGGCCGCGCGCGGGCCGTGCGAGGCAGTAGCAGGCCGCGCGCGGCTCGGCGCGGGCTGCTGCGGGCCGCGCGCGGGCCTCGCGAGGCCGTAGCAGGCCGCGCGCGGCTCGACGCGGGCTGCGTGGGCTCGGCGCGGGCTGCGCGCGGCAGCTGCGAGCTGCGCGCGGCTCGGTGCGGGCTGCGCGCGGCTGCAGCGGGCTGCGCGCGGGTCGGTGCGGGCTGCGCGCGGCTGCAGCGGGCTGCGCGCGGCTCGGTGCGGGCTGCGCGCGGCTGCAGCGGGCTGCGCGCGACTCGGTGCGGGCAGCGCGCGGCAGCAGTGTGCTTAACGGTCTGCAGGGGCAGCGCGCTGGCCTAGGGCAGCAGGAGGCAGCGCATGTGCAGCACGTCACAAGGCAAGGCAAGGCAGGCAGGTACGTGGGGTAGCGCGGTAACCGCAGCGGTAGGTGGGCCCGAAAAAAACGGTCCTACGGACCTTAGTGCTCTGAAACCATGTTAGAATCTAGCAGCAGGAATGAGTGAACTAACAGGATGCAGGAGTACAAGTAGTAAACCCTAATTGGGTTGTACCCCATATGGGCTACCCCACTACAGCCTAAACAATATGCAACACATATAGTTTGACAAATCCTGATGTACAAGCACAGTAGTTTCCCCCAGTGCACGATGCTGTTGACGCTGGAAAATCGGTCGACCAGCGATTTAGCTACCGGCCATCACTGGTGTCGTCGGTAGCTCAATTTAGCATGCCCTGCCCTGCAGTGCCAGACTGTGCCCTGCCATACAGTGCTGTGCCAAGCAGAGAGTCCCAGGGTTTCTTAGAGAAGCTTCTCCGATGCTTCCTTGCAGTGCACACCGAGCTTGGCCAGTGCAACCAGAGCTGGGCACACAGTGATGGGTAGACAGGCATGGGGGCAGACGCATAGAGTGGTGTGGGGAGAGGAGATAATAATAAATGAGAGAAGATGAGAAGATGAGAAGAGAGAATGAGTTAGGAGAACAGGGAGAGTGGTGAGAGCATGGTGACGGTTTACGGGGTGAAGGATATGTGAGGAGAGGCAGAAGGAGGAAGTGCTAGAGACCAGGCAGAGGCAGGGGAAGAGGGAGAATAAGAAAAGCCCAATATAGACAGGGCGCACGCATGGGCTCACAGGGTGCATGCATGGGCGCACAGGGTGCATGCATGGGCTCACAGGGTGCATGCATGGGCTCACAGGGTGCATGCATGGGCTCACAGGGTGCATGCATGGGCGCACAGGGTGCATGCATGGGCTCACAGGGTGCATGCATGGGCGCACAGGGTGCATGCATGGGCTCATCCTAGACCTTAAAGCCTAAGCCTGAAAACCAGAATGGATGGATGCGCTCACAGGGTGCATAGATGTCGCTGGTGACAGGCCTGAGAACGCCACGCTGCTGTACCTTGCCTAGTTTTGAGGCGCCTCAAAACAAAACTAGTTTTGAGGCGCCTCAAAACTAAAAAACCAGAATGGATGGATGAGCTCACAGGGTGCATAGATGTCGCTGGTGACAGGCCTGAGAACTCCATGCTGCTGCACCTTGCCTTGCAGGAGAAGCTGCGTTGGGGGAAACAGGGGAGAAGAGGGACATGCAAGGGGAAAGGAGTGTGTGCATGTGGGAGCGGTCACAATGGTGCCGAGAGCTGGGAGCATGCCAACAGTGAAGGGCGTGCGTGTGTGCGTGCGTTTGCGTGCGTGCGTTCGCGTGCGCGTGCGTGCGTGCAGTTGTGTAATTGTGCGTGCATGTTCACAATGGCGACGAGAGCTGCGGGCATGCCAACTTTGCAGGCCTTAGCGGACATGCTCGCCCCCAGAAGCTACAGAAGTGCGTGCTGTCAAGGTGAGTGCATCTGCCTGCTAGTTTGAGCATGTGTGCATGCACGCATGCATGTGGGAGTGCTCAGAATGGCGCCGGGTGTTTTTGAGAATTCTCAAAAACACCCTGCAGCATCAGTGCTCAGAATGGCGCCGAGAGCAGCGGGCAGGCCGACAGGGCGGGCCATGGCAGACACGCCACCACACGCCATAGGAGTGTCATCTCACCGTGAGTGAGTGCTTTTGCCTGCTAAAATGTGTCTGTGTGCATGCACACATGCATGCACGTGCGCGCACTCACAATGGCGCCGAGGGCAGCGGGCAGGCCGACAGTGCGGGCCATGGCAGACACGCCCCCAGACGCCACCTCCCCAAACGCCAGCAGCGTGGCTGAGTGCTTCTCCTTGGCCCGCCCGTCAGGGAACGAGGCCTCCAGCTCGTGATGCAGCAACACCATGTCCTGGCGGAGGGGGGAGAAGGTGAGGGAGAGGGGGTGGGGGTTTGGGAGTGTAACGGCAATTCAGGAATCTCAGCCCGTCGGGGAATGATGCCTCAAGATCGTGATGCAGCAGCACCATGTCCTGGCGGAGGGTGGAGTGGTAGGGGAGGGAGAGGGGGGGGGTTGGGGATTTGGGAGTGTTAAGGCAATTCAGGAATCTCAGCCCGTCGGGGAATGATGCCTCAAGATCGTGATGCAGCAGCACCATGTCCTGGCGGAGGGGGGAGTGGTAGGGGAGGGAGAGGGGGGGGGTTGGGGATTTGGGAGTGTTAAGGCAATTCAGGAATCTCATCCCGTCGGGGAATGATGCCTCTAGCTCATGATGCAGCAGCACCATGTCCTGGCGGGGAGGGAGTGGTAGGGGAGATGGGGTGGGACGTATGGGAAGGAAGGATGGGAGTTGTGGGGTGAGACAACTCACAGCTATTCTCAATGTCTGCATGCTTGCCCTCTCGCTGGCTGGCTAGCTGGAGCATTCTTCACAAGAAGTGTATTTAATATGATTGATTTGCTTGATATACTGATCCTCTATCTAACCAGCGTTCATCCAACCCTCACCCTCTGTCTCCCCACCACTCACCCTCCATCTCCCCACCACTCACCCTCTCACTGGGACCGAACTTCATCCTCTCCTCCATGCGATGGCACAGCCTTTGAGACTTAGCCTTTGAGACTTAGCCTTTGAGACTTAGCCTTTGAGACTTAGCCTTTGAGACTTAGCCTTTGAGACTTAGCCTTTGAGACTTAGCCTTTGAGACTTAGCCTTTGAGACTTAGCCTTTGAGACTTAGCCTTTGAGACTTAGCCTTTGAGACTTAGCCTTTGAGACTTAGCCTTTGAGACTTAGCCTTTGAGACTTAGCCTTTGAGACTTAGCCTTTGAGACTTAGCCTTTGAGACTTAGCCTTTGAGACTTAGCCTTTGAGACTTAGCCTTTGAGACTTAGCCTTTGAGGCGCCTTAAATGATGAAGGCGATTGCAGCACTCACCTTCTCACTGGGACCGAACTTCATCCTCTCCTCCATGCGGTGGCACAGCAGGTCAAAGCAGCTGCTCGTGCCATCTGGCACATCCTCATTGGCCGCCAGGCCCAGCCAGCTGCAAGCAAGCGAGAGCGACCGAAGGATAAGTTACGTTTTTTATTCAAGATAAATTATACAAATGGATAGCAGCGACTGATATAGATTGCATATATATATATATATATATATATATATACATATATATATAATCCTTACGGGGCTTCATGAGCCACCAAGCCCACAGCACAGCACGCGTAAAATCCCACATCTATGTCTACCACCACCCCACTTCACCGCACCCCACAGCACCGCACAGAACACCACCACTGACCTCACAGCATTGACAATGCGAGGCGCGTCCTTCCCAAGCCCAAGCTCCTCAAGCCTTTTCTGCACCGCCAGCAGCACCGCCGGCACCGCGTCCGCACTCCCAACACCCTCCTCCACCACCAACCTCTCCGCTCAGCATGCATTAAAATTCACGTTCATCCAGGTCCCTACCATCACCATCACACCCCACACCGCACCCCAACACATGCAACCGCACCTCACAAAATCCCCAGCACCAGACCGCACAACACTACCACTGACCTGACAGCATTCACGATGCGAGCAGCATCCTTCACCAACCCCAGCTCCTCGAGCCTTGTCTGCACCGCCAGCAGCACCGCCGGCACCGCGTCCGCACTCCCAACATCCTCCTCCACCACCAACCTCTCAGCCGCCGCAGCAGCCGCAACACACAATACCACCACCACTGACCTCACGGCGTTCACACTGCGAGGCTTCATGAGCCATCAACCGCACAGCATGCTTCAAAACCGACATCCCACCGCAAACAGCACCCCACAAAACCCCCCAGCACCACACCTCACAACACCACCACACCACTGACCTCACGGCGTTCACGATGCGAGCAGCATCCTTCCCAAGCCCGAGCTCGTCAAGCCTTTTCTGCACCGCCAGCAGCACCGCTGGCACCGCGCCCGCACTCCCAACACCCTCCTCCACCACCAACCTCTCCGCATCCGCAGCAGCCGCAGCGGGATCAGCAGCCCCCGCAGTGGTAACCAGCGCGTGCAGGAAGGACGCGTAGGTGGGGTAAGGGGGGAGGGGCGCGTCGTCGTCGTCGCGCGGAGCCTCGGTGGTGACCGGTGCGGTGGGGTCGGATTCGGCTTGGATTGCGGCGGCCGCGGCGCGGGGGATGGAGAGGAGAGGGTGCGGGTCCTGGTTGAAGAGGCCGAGGGACGCCAGGCCCGCCATTATGGAGGAGAAACCTGTGTGGCGAAGAATCGGGGGGGTGGGGGAGAAAGGGGTTTGAGGGAAGGGGTGAGGGGAGGGTGAGAGGGCATTCCCAGTGAGAGGAGCGGGTGCGGGTCCTGGTTGAAGAGGCCGACGGACGCCAGGCCCGCCATTATGGAGGAGAAACCTGTGTGGGTGAGGGAGGGTGCGGGGAGAATGAGAGGGAACTCCATGTGAGAGGAGCGGGCCGAGCGCTGCCAGGCCCGCCATTATGGAGGAGAAACCTGCGTAGGTGAAGGGGAGAAGTGGGAGGAGGGGTGAGATGATCAGAAGAAAAAACACGGCATTCCTCACCTTCATAGCGCAGAGTCCCCCGGAACATGGTCTCTGCAGTGACCGCCGCAGCGGCAGCAACAGGATCAGCAGCAGCAGCCTCCGTGAATTTAGAGCCTATTTCGAATCTCACAATCATAGCGCAGAGTCCCCTTTTCCCTCAATAGCACCCCACTCTCCTCACCTTCATAGCGCAGCGTTCCCCGGAACATGGTTTCCGCGGTTACCGCCGCAGCAGCAGCAGCGGGATCAGCGGCAGCAGCAACAGTGCGATCCGGGCTGCTGAGCCCGTAGTAGTCGGCATAGCCGAGGGAGTCGCGGTTGGGCAGCACCTCGAGCGCAAATGCAGGGAAGTGCGGCAGACGGAGGGCCTGGGCTGACGAGAACAGGTCCTCTCCTGGTGTGTGGGGTGGGTGAGATGAAGGTGGGGGATGGGAGGGGGGCAAGGGGAGAGGAAGAAGGGGAGGGACGAGGGGGAACGGGAGGGAAGAGGTGGAAGTGGAGTGGAGAGGGGAAAGGGAGGGAAGTGGGGACTTTGGAGCTGCTGAGCCCATAGTTGTTGGCATAGCCGAGGGAGTCGCGGTTGGGCAGCACCTCGAGCGCAAAGGCAGGGAAGTGCGGCAGACAGAGGGCCTGGGCCGATGAGAAGAGGTCCTCTCCTGTGAGAAGGAGGGGGGGGGGGGGGGAGGGGGGAGGGAAGGAAGATGGGTTGGGGGGGAGGGGAGGGGAGGAATGACGGCGAGTAGACATCTCAGACTAGCTTAAAACCCAGTCAGGCCTTAGTTGGGCTGAGTTCAGAAGCAACACACACTCTCAACCCACGTGCACGGCACGGTGCACCCCACACCACACCCACGTACCCAAGACGGCAACAAACGCGCCGTCCTTCTTGTACATGGCAGATTTTCGCCCCGTTAGCTGTGCTCCACGCGAGTTCCAGCCGAGCTTGTATGCCAAGGAGTTGTTGGCAGCACCCCACACTCACGCGAGACAAATACCCCACACAAGACATCCAACACATGCCAAATATACGCACCCTTAACGGCAACAAGCGCGCCGTCCTTCTTGTACACAGTGGAGTTCCGCCCTGCCAGCAGCGCCCCACGCGGGTTCCAGCTGAAATTGTAGGCCAGGGGGTTGTCGGCAGCACCCCACCCCACAGTCACACAAGACACATGCAACCCACGTGCACCCGGCACTCACACCAGACGCACTCTCCAATCGCACGTACCCTTAACAGCAACAAGGGCACCATCCTTCTTGTACACAGCGGAGTTCCTCCCTGCCAGCAGCGCCCCACGCGGGTTCCAGCTGAACTTGTAGGCCAGGGGGTTGTCAGCAGCACCGGGGGCGGGCAGGCCGCCACAGAGAGAGACAAAGGACGTGATGGTTCCTCCGTCCGCTTCGATGCGCTGCTTCATGTCCATCGCTAGCATGTGGTCTGGTGGGGGGGAAGGGGTGAGGGGAGAGGGGCAGCGGGCAGCACAGCACAACGGGTGAATGAGCACAGCACAGCACAATGAGGCTGATGGTTCCGTCGTCCGCCTCTATGCGCTGCTTTTTGTCCATTGCCAGCATGTGGTCTGGTGGGAGAAGTGGTGGAAGAGGGGGATTATCAGAGGCACGAAAGTGTGTTGGGAATGTATAGATGTGCTGCTTCATGTCCCCAACATGTGGTCAGCATGTGGTCTGGGCTCAGGGAAGGAGGTAAGGGGAGTGGGGAGAGGGGAAGGAAGGTCAGGCTCGGACTAGTCTCGATGGATACTCGTGCATGGAAGACGGGAGTGACACAGGTAGCGAGCGACGGGAGAACACAGTTAGCAACAGGGTGAGGTGTGTACGGGGAGCATGGAGCATGGAGCATGTAGAATACGGGCCACAACGGCCATAGGGGACAGTGGGACAGAACGCAACACAGGCATAGTGCAAAGGAGACAGACCAGAGCACAGAGCACAGAGCAATTACTAGGCCCCCATTCTCCCTTTTTTTCTCACCAGCCCCATTTCACACAGCACCGTGTGATCCCACTCGCCTTGGAAAGCGCGTGAGTCGACTCAAGAACACGTCACACGCTACAGCCCAGACCTAACCCCCCTGTGCCTCACTCACCAATGCCCGGGTCCAGCCCCATTTCACAGAGCACCGTAATCCCGCTCGCCTTGGCTGGCTGGTGAGTCGACTCAAAAACACATCACACGCTACAGCCCAGACCTCCCCCCCGTTGCCTCTCTCACCAATGCCCGGGTCCAGCCCCATTTCACAGAGCACCGTAATCCCGCTCGCCTTGGCTGGCTCGTCCAGTTGCGCCATCTGTGGGCTCACATACGACGCCGTCACCAGGTGCTTGCTCGCCTGAATGCAGGTGGGAAAAGGGGCACGGAGAGGCCAAGCAAAGAGCAATAAGGCAGTGGGGATGCCTTGGCTGGTTCGTCCAGTTGCGCCATCTGTGCGCTCACATACGATGCCGTCACCAGGTGCTTGCTCGCCTGGGGGGGAAAGGGGGAAGGAGAGGCGGTGAGAAAGGGAGGGGGGAGAAACGTGGGAGCTGGAGCGGGGCAAGAGCGCACTCGTCCAGCTGCGCCATCTGTGCGCTCATGTATGACGCCGTCACCAGATGCTTGCTCGCCTGGGGAGAGGGGGAAAGGGAAGCAAGAAGAGGGGGAGCGGGGGAAAAGAGGGGATGGGGGAGTGCGGTCGTCCAGCTGCGCCATCTGTGCGCTCATGTACGATGCCGTCACCAGATGCCAATGCTTGCGTGAAGGTATGTATGCTCGCCTGGCCAGGGGAGGTGGGGGGAGAGAGATGACAAGCAGAGCAGAGAGCAATAAGGCATTGGGGATGGCTTAACAAACGACGCTGCATACCGCCATCTGCATCGTACACTGCGCTCGCTCACAAACGACGCTGTCACCAGGTGCTTGCATGCCTGAGCAGGGTAGGGGTGGAATGACAAGAGCTCGACACATGAGGTCAATCTAACCTCGGCTGGAAAATGTTAAAGGAGAAGGGGAGGATTGATGAGTAAGAAGAAGGGGCAAGGAAGTAGTGCGAGTTCAAATGCGAGAGAGAGTGCTAGATTGAGCATACATACCTTCACGCAAGCATTGGCGACCGTGATGTGGCACACAGGTGCCATATGAGTTGACCCAAAGGTAATCAGTGCAAGAGCGAAGGAGCAAGAGCGTACACACCTTCACACAAGCATTGGCGACCGTGATGTGGCACGCAGGCGGCAGCATGCTGATTACTACATCAGCCTGAGAGGGGCAGGAGGGGAGGGGAAGCAACACGTGCAAGCAAAGCGCACGCAGGCATGAAGAGATAGACAAATAAAGGTGCAAAGCGTTGGCAGAGCGTGGATAAAGCGTTGGCGAAGCAATAGCAAAGCCTCTGCCTCCTCACCAACCCCCTGACTGACTATTCCTATCCACCCTCGCCTCACCTGTGCAACGGCAGCGTCAAGCTTGGCAGTGTCACTGATATCCAGCTCCATAGGGTGTGTGTGCTCGAAGCCCTCCACTGCCTGGTGGTGTGGTGTGCGGTGCGGTGCGGTGAGGTAGGGTGGAAAGTGTTGAGGTAGGGTGAGGCATTGTGAGTGCACTATGCAGCATGGAGTGTGTGTGCATGTGTGTCCAAACCAGTACATGCATGCGTACATACATCGTACATGCGCGCGCGCGCACTCACACACACACACATTTGAACGAGTGCATTTCAACAGATACCCTCCAACCCCTCACCTTCACTGCCTCTTCCAGGAACATGGACGCCACAGACACATGCAAGCAAACATGCACACACGGACACGTGCATGTCAACAGATCACCCCCTCCCCACCATCACCTGCCCTCCCACCACTCACCTTCACTGCCTCTTCCAGGAACATGGACGCCACAGTCACAGACATGCTCACAGATACGAATACATACATACATCCATGCATCCCTCCATATAGCCCTCACCTTCACAGCCTCTTCCAGGAACATGGACGCCACAGTCACAGACATGCTCACAGATACGAATACATACATACATCCATGCATCCCTCCATATAGCCCTCACCTTCACAGCCTCTTCCAGGAACATGGACGCCACAGTCACATGCAGCGCCTCATGCCGCTTCTCCCCTTCGCCCACCTCCTCCTCCCCCCACCACCTCTCCCCATCCCCAAACCGCACCAGCGTATCAATCACCGGTACCACCATCCTCCCCGCACCAAGAACCAGCACCCTCCACTTATACTCCACCTCCTTCCCCTCCTCCACCCCCACCCCCAAACCCACCCCCTCCTCCACCTCTCCCTTCGCCCCACCCGCCTCAGCAGCAGCAGCAGCAGCAGCAGCAGCAGCAGCAGCAGCAGCAGCCGCGGATTTAGCTTCCTCCTTGGCAAGAGCAGCGGCAGCGGCGGCTTTAACAGCAGCGAGGGTGTCAGCGGAAATGGCGCGGGGGCTGTTGGTGTGCGAGTCGAGGGGGTTCTCCGGCACGTGCCCCTCCGCCTTCTGCGCTATCTCCGCCAGCGCGTTCACTATCCCTGCCAGCTGCTCTTCTGAGGTAGCGGAAACCTGGATTGGGAGAGAGGCAGGGAGAGGGCAGGAATGAGGAATGAAGAGTGGTGAAGTGCGGTGAACGAGGGAGTTCTGTTCTCAGGCACGTGCCCCTCCGCCTTCTGCGCTATCTCCGCCAGCGCGTTCACAATCCCTGCTAGCTGCTCCTCTGATGTGGCTGACACCTGGAGGGTAGATTAGAACAGTGGACGGGAGGAATGCGTGGGGAGGTGAAGGCGAGGAAGGGGGGAGGGCGTGAGGGGCACGATTGTGTTGCCAACAAGCACGTTCAGTAAAGCAGAACAGGCCATACGTGAACCTTCCCCCTCTCTCCTCCACACTTCCCCATGATCAAATCGTCAGACCCCTCTGCACCTATCCTCACCTGGATCTGTACACCCCCTCCACTCCCTCCCTCCCCCAACCACCCGCCCTTCCTCTCTCTCCCCCCACTAACGCACACCATCCTCAAATCCTTTCCACCCATCCGCACCTGGATCTCAGCAAAGGAGCTGGAGTCGCCAGACTGGCCCACGAGGCACGTATGAACCTTTCTCCACCTCCTTCTCTCCCGCCATACCCCCCACCACCACAACAGAGCCATCTCAAACCCCTCTGCACCCATCTTCACCACACCTGGATCTCGGCAAAGGAGCTGGAGTCAACGGACTGGCCGACGAGGCACGTGGCGAGCTGGAAGGTGCCGCCCGCCCTCTCTATCACGTCCAACGCGCGCCGAGGTGCTTGTTCCTCCTTGAGAATCCCCCATCTTCGACCGTCAAACCGTACCACAAGTATAGAGGAACGAGTGAACCCCCCACCTTCCTTCCACCATCAAACCCCTCCGCACCGCTCCCCACCGACTGCTCCCTAAGGCACACGTAAACCTCCTCCTTCTCTCTTTGGTTTCACCCCTCCCCCGTTCAGTCTGACCGCTCTCCACCGCTCTCCACCGTTCCTCACCTGGATCTCGGCAAAGGAGCTGGAGTCAACGGACTGGCCGACGAGGCACGTGGCGAGCTGGAAGGTGCCGCCCGCCCTCTCTATCACGTCCAACGCGTCGTTGATCAGAAACCGGTCAAACAGGTGCCCGTTCAGGGACACCTGCGGCGGTGGAGTGCGGTGAAGTGTGGTGCGGGGTGCGTGGAACGGGGTGGTGTGCGGTGGGATGGGAGGGGAGGAGAGGAGAGCAGAGGGGGAAAGGAGAGGACAGGGGAAGAAGAGGAGCGGAGAGGAGTGGAGGAGCGGAGGGGAGGGGAGTGTAGGAGAGGAGGGGGAAAGGAGGAGGGAAAGGGAGAGGAGAGGAGGAAAGGAAGAGAGGACGTGCAATTATAGTGACGAGTGCGCATCCCTCTCCTGACGAACACGAGAGACACAGCCACTCGCTGGCAATGGTTGGGAACTGTTGAGGATTGTTGGGAATTGTTGAAAAGCGTTGCAGACTCCGACCTGCAAGAGCCTGTTTTAGTCTTGCTCTGAGACGTCTCAATCACACACGAGAATGCGGTCAAAACACACAAACAAACATGAGCTTGGAGGGTTGACTTGCAGCACCCAAGGTGGGAAAGGAGGAGATGTAAGAGAGAGCGGAGGAAGAGTGAGAGGAGAGCCGAGAGGGTGTGAGAAAGAGGAGGAGGAGGAGGAGGGGGAGGAGGAGATGAGAGTGAGCAGGTTGGGTGCTGCAGTGGGTGTCCCTTCCCTTTTTGAAAACCTTCCATCACAAACCGTCCGTGCCTGCCCTTGTTGTGTTACAAACACACCAAAAGCTTTTGCCATCAAAAGCCAACTCCCTTCTCTTGTCCCTTCAGGACAGCAAGACGCAGAGGTTGCACAGAAGGGAGAATGCACAGAACGTAGCTGGGACGGAACGGAACAGGGGAGATTCTCCGCAAGGGAAGGGGGTGATAGGCTCAGCTAGGTCGAGACAGGCCCGTGTGAAACACGGGCCGGGGGAAGCTGCACGTGCCAGTGGTGCTGGTGCTGGTGCTGGTGATAGTGGTGACAGCATCTGCTGCTGCTGCTGCTGCTGATGGTGCTCGTGCTCGTTGCTGTGCTGCTTGCAACCTAGGTAGTGGTGGTGAGTGCGCGAGTGCAACTGGGCATGGTGAGTGCGCGGGTACAGCAGAGTGCCAGGAGGATGCCGCTTCAGACTCTGCAATGCCCTACCGCTGCTGCCGCAGCAGCTGCTGCTGCTGCTACTGCTACTAGAGCCACTGAAGTTGCCGCTACTGCTGCAGTGACTATTGCAAGTGCGGCAGCTCGTGCAACTGTTTCTGCTATGGTTGCTGCTAGGAACGCCCTTGGCTTTGGAACGGTGCTGAAGACTCAACAATACCAGGTGCCTGTGCCCCAGCTGCTGCTGTGGCCTCTTGCACACCAGGTGAACGCGGCTTTTGACTGTAGGCGCAGCGTCGCGCAGCACAGGTGGCAGCATGGTTTATCGTGGTAGCAGCAGGGATTGGAGGGTCAGTAGCACAGCCTTTCTTCGGGACAAACTTGGAAGCAAGCTCGGGCTTGGGCTCAGGCTCAGGCTCAGGCTCGGGTTCAGACTTGGGCTCAGGCTCGGGCTCAGGCTCAGGCTCGGGCTTAGAGACAGAGGGTTTTAAGGAGAGGGTTTTGGCGGAGAGGGTTTGGTGGATTGGAGTACCGCAGCTAGGAGTTTTGAATGGGTTGCTTCTAGCAGAACTCAGCATCTTGTGACGAAAACAAGGAAATGCATGTATCAAGACCAGAATAAAGGTGGTGGAAGGAGAAAACGCAGGACAGGAGGTGCGTAGATTAGTGGTCATACAAACCAGTGGCAGCGGGAGGGAGAAACAGGCAGTCGCAAATCCAGCCCGAGATCAAGTCAAAACGTGAAACGTGAAATTGAGTTAAAACCAGAAGGCACCAACGAAGGGCGACACGTGCACGACGAAACAGGGTTCAGTTACGGCAACAGGTAGGGAGGAATGGGGAGAAAGGGTAGGTGAAAGGGGATTTGGAGGGGGTGGGAGGGGCAGAGGGAGCAACAGAGGGGTGAAAAGAGGAGTATTAATAAGTGCAAGAAGGGAGGAAAAAAAAAAAGGAAAAAAAGAAAAGAAAATGAATTACTTGTAAATAACCATGTTAGGCCGTACCATCTGAGGTGAGTCACTGCATTGTGTTGGTGGATTGGATTTCACCAACATGTGCAGGTTCAAGTCCAGGTCAGCACAACACTAGGGTAGCGCGGCACAAAGAGAGGTGGTCATATTACACGAGCACAGTGGTGAATCCTAGCAGTGCAACAGTCACTGGTGTTTTTGAGACGTCTCAAAAACACCCTCGCTACACGTAGCGCGGCACAAAGAGAGAGAGAAGGTCATATTACACGAGCACGGTGGTGAATCTCAGCAGTGCAACAGTCACTGCTTGCTTTGTGAGAGACAAGGCTCAGCGGAACACGGCTCGTGCACAAGGAGGCTCGTGCACTGCACACAAGTGGAGCAACCGGCGAGGGGAGCAGAGTAGGGAAAGGCATACATACCAGAGTGGTGTACTTCTTGTCTGATGGGACTGCCTCCGCCCTGCCACCATGCACACATCACACGGCTCACAGCAGTCAGTAAAAGTAGTTTTTGCGAAAGTTGGTTCGAACAAAGTGTGCTTTTGGGAGCAGAAACCAAAAGTTACCTACGACTCTGAAGCATGCGGCACTGGCAGGCAGCATAGAGCGATCATACCCAGAAAGGAAGGCACAGGTGGAACTTACAGGAGTGGATCCAAGACAAAAACTACTCATTGGCCCTTCTTTCCAAGCACCATTCATTGGCACAGGTAGAACTTACAGAAGCACCACCACCACCACCGTCACTAACCCAGACCAACAGCAAGCACTCACTCGGCCTTGCGCGCAGCGGCGATGCGGTGGATGTACTCGAAGAGCGGGCAGAGGTGCCCCCCGTACGTGATGCACGCGCGCTGCATGGCGGCAGGCGCGTCCTCGGGCGTGCGGGAGAAGGCGAGGTGGCGCAGGAAGGGGAAGAGCGCCCTCCTTCCCCCCACCACCACCCGCACTCCCCTCCAATCGACCCCAACAAACACAGCCCCTCCACCACCACCCGCACCCCCAGCAGGCAACCAGCACAGCAATCACTCGTCTTTTCAGGCGCCTCAGCAAGGAGGAGGAGACTCACTCGGCCTTGCGCGCAGCGGCGATGCGGTGGATGTACTCGAAGAGCGGGCAGAGGTGCCCCCCGTACGTGATGCACGCGCGCTGCATGGCGGCAGGCGCGTCCTCGGGTGTGCGGGAGAAGGCGAGGTGGCGCAGGAAGGGGAAGAGCGCCTGGCCGAAGTGGTTGGTGGCTTCTTTGGGGAGCTCTGAAGGAAGGATATCTACCGCCACGAAGAATATCCCGGGTCCTTCCAGGTCGTCGTGTGTTGTGTTTTTTATGGGATCGTAGCTGACATGTGGGAGGAGGGACGAGGGACAGAGGGGAGCGAGGGGAGAAGGACGGGAGGAGGGAGAAGGGGAAGGATGGGAGAAGGGGAGTAGAGAGACAGGGTGAGAACAGAGGTGAGGGAGGGGCAGACAAGAGGTGGCGCAGGAAGGGGAAGATTGCCTGGCCAAAGTGGTTAGTGGCTTCTTTTGGGAGCTCCGATGGCAGGATATCAACCGCCACGAAGAATATCCCGGGTCCTTCCAGGTCGTCGTGGGTGGTGCCCTTTATGGGGTCATAGCTGGTGGGAGGAGGGAAGTAGGGAAACAGCGGAGAAGAGGAAGAAGGCAGGAGGTGGGAGAGTAGAGAAGGGAGGTGGGAGAGTAGAGAAGGGAGGTGGGAGAGTAGAGAAGGGAGGTGAGAACGGAGGTGAGGGGTGGGAGAAGGCGAGGTGGCGCAGGAAGGGGAAGAGCGCCTGGCCGAAGTGGTTGGTGGCTTCTTTTGGGAGCTCGGAGGGCAGGATATCAACCGCCACGAAGAATATCCCGGGTCCTTCCAGGTCGTCGTGTGTTGTGTTTTTTATGGGATCGTAGCTGATGGGGAAGAAAGGAGGGAAAAAGGGGAGGAGGGAACGCAGGGGGCAGCGGAGCAGAGACGAGGTCAGAACGGAGGTGAGGGAGGGAGGAGCAGAGGAGAGACAGAGCAGGAAGGGGAAGAGCGCCTGGCCGAAGTGGTTGTGGCTTCTTTGGGAAGCTCCGATGGCAGAATGTCGACTGCCACAAAGAGAATACCGGGGCCTTCCAGGTCGTCGTGCGTGGTGTTCTTGATTGGATCGTATCTGATGAAAAGAGGGGCGAGGGGGGGAGGGGAGGGAGGAGGGGAAGGAAGAGGACCAAGGAGTTGAGAGATGAGAGATGAGATGGTAAGCGAGGACGAGAGGATGAGGGATGGGGGTGGGAGGGCCAAGGAGAGAGGAGAGAGAAGGGGAACGGAGAGGCAAGAAGGTTTACGGCCCGAGTCACAAGGAAACTGCTCCGTTCATCTCACCGGAAGAAGGGGCGTTCGATCTCAGTGGAATGGGTGAGGCTCTCCACAGATCCCCCCACGTCGCACGTGATATCCGCCACTCCCACCAGCCGCATCGGCACCGCCTTCCCCTCGCTGTCCATGGCTGTGGCCAGCGCGTTGAGCTGCTCGTTGGATAGCAGGCGGGGGAAGCGGTGCTCCCAATACATGCAGTTCACTGGTGGAAGGTGCAGGAAAGAAATGGGAGACGCAGGGAATGTGGAAGAAATTGGGAGGCCATGGGGTGAAGGGGTTGATACTTCTGCCTGTCCCTCGCTGTCCGTGGCTGTGGCCAGCGCTTTGAGCTGCTCGTTTGAGAGCAGACGAGGGAAGCGGTGCTCCCAATACATGCAGTTCACTGTAGAGGGGGGGGGGGGGGGGGGGGTAAAGGAAGGACAGGGGAATGTGGAAGAATTGGGACGCCGTGGGGTAAAAGAATTGATAATTCTGCGGACCTGCCACAGCTGCTCCAAGCTCACGGGAAAGCTTAAAGCGGGAGCCACGGCCACGGATTTGGCACTGACGTGCGTGAATATGCCGAGTATATGTATCCAGCATGCTGAGCACTTCCATGCACGTCAGTGCCAAATCCGTGCCCATGGCTCCCGCTTGAAGCTTTCCCCGTGAGCTTCACGCCTTTTGTTCTCTGTGGCCGTGGCCAGGGCTTTGAGCTGCTCATTGGAGAGCAGGCGGGGGAAGCGGTGCTCCCAGTACATGCAGTTCACTGGTGGGGGAAAGGGAAGAAGGGGGATAGGGGATGCGGAGAGAGGGACGAGGGGGCTGGATGGGGGAGGGTGAAGAGATGCGGATAGGAGGAAAGCAAGAGGAGCTGTACCTCGCACATGGTGCATGGCAGCACATGGTGCATGGCAGCACATGGTGCATGGCAGCACAACACGGGACATACCGATGACGGTGGCATAGGGCGCAATGGTCTCATGGAAGATGGGACGGTACTGGTCCGGATGGGCGTAGTAATGCTCCTGTGTGACGTGGCATGGGATGCCATAGGATGTGGGATGGCATGGGATGGCATGGCATGGGATGGCATGGGATAGGACGATGGGTCAGACGAAATGAGATAGGTGGGCAAAGCATTGCAGCCAAGTGGAAATTCAGCTGAAGCGACTCAAAAAGTTGCCTAGAGTAGCCACACGCACTGACCTTGTCAAAGGTGGGGTGCGCGGCCTTGTCAAGGGGCTCTACCATATCCTTCGCCTCCACCACACATGCGTAGATCACCTTCTGTGATGGGTCCAACCCGTGGCCCTGTGATACGGGGAGAAGGAATGACAAGGACACGGAGAGGAAGGGAGAGTATTGAGAGGAAGGGAGTGCGAGAGAGAGGGGATTAGGGAGAGGGAGAGCGGGGTTTGGAGGGAGGGTTGGGGGTTTAGGGAGAGTGTGCAGCAGGGCTCTTAAAGCCCTGCAACATGTAAATCTTGGAGTTTTTTTTCTCACCTCTGACACGCACACGAATGGATTGCCTTCTGAAACGCGTCCAAAACCCTAAATCCTGACTTTCAATCTCCAAAATCCTGAACCCTGAATCCCCGGTCCAGTTAGAGCGATGGAATTACATGTGTTGGCCTCACAAGCACACTCTCCTCACATGTAGACACACACCCCTCAACTTCCCCTTTCCCCTCCCTCCCTCCCTTCCCCCACTCCCCCCCTTCCCTCCCCCTCTCCTCTCCACACAAGCACGGGACTCACATGCGCGGGGGGCTTGCGCGCGAGCAGCTGGGGCAGGTCCGCAGGCTTCACGAAGTGGTGCGGCAGCAGGCGGAATATCTCCTGCGCGCCCTGCGACACTGCGCGCACCGGGGGAAAAGGGGTGAAACGGGGGTCGGGAGAGGGTTGGGGGGGGTAGAGGGAGGGGAGGGAGAGGAGGGGGGGGGGGAAGGGGAGCGGGGAAGGGGCAAGAGGGAAGGGGCAAGGGAGAAATGGGAACGTGTTTTCCTGTGCGCCCTGGGACACTCCGCGCGCCGGGGGGAACGGGGGGAAGGGGGGGGGGGGGGGAGGGGGGGAGGGAGGGCGCGCGGCAGCAGGGAGGGAGATGCGGAATGGGGACGGAATCTGGGAAACAGGGTACAAGGTTCAGGGTTTTGTAGTGGCTGTGAAGATTTGCGAGTGGAAGCAAATCAAGATTGGCTAGGATAAACCTGGAGGCTCCAGTGACGATGAATGAACACGAGCGGAGAGAGCACGGGTGGCAATTCTCTACATCTCTTCCCCCCCTCTCCTCCCCTCTCTTCTCGCCCCTCTCCTTTCGTCCCACTCCTCCCCCCCGTTCCCCCCACCCCCCAGCCCTGCGCGCGTACCTTTCCCCGTGCCAGTGAAGGCGAACACGAGCGGCGCGAGCGCGGCCAGAAACCCCTTAGTTATCCTCCTTCCCTCCCCTCTTCCCCTTCCCGTCAATATTCCTCCCCCTCCCCCCCCCCCCTTTTCCCCCCCTCTTCCCTTCCCCGCGCACCTTTCCCCGTGCCAGTGAAGGCGAAGACGAGCGGCGCGAGCGCGGGCGGCAGGCCGTGCGTGGAGATGTCGTCGCCCGCGGCCACCACGGCGGCCTTGGCGGCGGAGAGCGAGGGGTACATGTAGGCCGACGCGATGGAGAGGAACGGCGTGTGGTGACCCAGATTCAGGTAGCCTGGGAAGTGGGGAGAAGGGGTCGGGGAGGGGGGAAAAAAGGGAGGAAGTAGGCGGGGAGAAGAGGGAGAGATGGTAGGGAGAAGGGGGGAGAAGGGGGGGAGAAGGGGGGTAGAAGGGGGGGGAGAAGGGGACGGAAGAAAGGAAGACAAAGGAAAGGAAAGGGAAAGGAAAGGGAAGAGGGAAAGGGAGAGGAAGGTGTACGTTGAATGGTGCGGGAGAGGGAGGAAAGGAGGGGAAAGGAGGAAGGGGAGAGAAGTGGGGAAGGGTCCACGAGAGGAGGCAAGCAGAGAAGGAGATGGTTGGGTTTCAAGGCGCCTTGTTGCGAGCGACGAATGTGACGGGGAGATGGAAATGGATCGAAGAAATTGCAGAAAGAGCAGAACTGGAATCTGCTGTTCCTCTTCATTCCTTCAGTTTCACTTTCCTGCTTCCAGTTTCCCAAGAATGCGCTACTGAGAGTGATATACACGTTTTGCGAGTCAGAGAAGCAACGACAAGGTTATATCATGTTACAACACATAGCGCACGCAATAATACCTTCCCCATGCACCAACCAGCCTCCGCCCATTCCCCGTGCCCCGCCCTCTTCAGGCCCGTTTCCCCCCCCACTTTCTCCTCACGCCCCCATCCACATCCCCCTTCCCGCGCACTCCCCCGCCCTTCCCCAAACGTACGTTCCCCCAGTCCGCGCAGGCAGTCGATCATGCCCGCGCGCCCCGCGTACTCGCCGAACGCCACGACGCGCCGCCCGTCGTCGCCCACGATGAGCTCGTAGTCGTACAGCGACACGCGCTTCGCGAGGATCTGCGGGGGACGCGGGGGAGGGGGGAGAGGAGAGGACGGGGAGGGGGGGAGGGGGGAAGGAGGGGGAGGGGGAAAGGACATGAGCTCGTAGTCGTACAGCGACACGCCGAAGCACGCGCATCCGAAACACTATTAGTTACACTACTACGCACAGGTGATACAAGTTGATGCTGCTACAGACGCTACAGACGATGCTAGAGGGCGTTACAAATGCAGCAAGCGCTGCAAGTAGCGCACCTCGTCGAGCAGAGGAAGGTTCTCCTCCTGTCCCTTGTGCGTGTGGGAGAAGAAGGCGTAGGAGCGGTCGGGAAGCAGCGTACCCAGCTGCGGAAAGAGGGGTAGAGAGGGGCGGAGAGGGGTAGGGAGGGAGAGAAAGAGAAAGAGGAAAGGAAAGACAAACAAACAGGAGCGGACGTGAGAAAAGAGCGCAGGCATGAGGAAGAGAAAAGACGGTGTTGGTAAAGCAAGAATAGACTAGCAATTCAAACCTCAAGACACTAAACCCGCACCTTTCAAATACCACCACTCTTTACCCGCTTTGAGGCGCCACAAAAATCGCTTACCGGCGGCTGCTTGACGCCGAGAATGAGACCGCACTCGGACAGGTCATCAGACATCTCGCACCCCACGTCCTCGTATTGGGAATCCGCGAACACGCGCTTGCTGCTCGGTTGCACGATGATGCGAATCGACCCCGCGGCCGCGCGCCCGCCGTGCGCCGCGCGCCCCGCGGCGGTCCCGTTCGCGGAAGCGGCGAGGAGGCGCGCGCACTGCGCGGGGGTGAGCGGCGCGCGGCGCTCCCACTTGTAGCGGCCCTCGTGGAGCACGCCGATTACGCCGTTGCCGTGCATGGCGGCGGAAGAGGTAATAGCGGAACTGCGTGCGACGGGGATGAAAAGCGCGAGTGCTTGAAGTTGGGATGTGTCGGGTAACGAGTTGTTTCAAGCGGAAGTTGAAGGCGATACGAGTTTGAATGTAGTAGGAAGGATTAGGGAGTCATTAAAAAAAAAAAAAAAAAAAGTAAGGAGAAGAGACGGGGAAGCGGAAGAGAGGAGAAATTACGTGTTTTATTTTATTATTATTTTTTTTTAATTCAAGAGACGATTCGCAGGGAACAGAGAAGCGCGTATAACGAAGACTGGACGGAGAAGTTGAGAAAGCCAGAGGGCGCTAGAAAGCCAGGCAGGAAAGTCGCCAAGAAACAGAGGCTTCAAACACGTAACATACGATAGGTTGCGCGGTAGCAATCTCACTTCGTGTTTCGGGTAGATAATTGGTCAGCTAAGCGGTCGTTGCGCTCCTGACAAACTCGTTCGACTAAGGTTTGACTCGCGCGTAAACTCGGGACCTATTAACAGTACCACGAATTAGTAGGACGTTGTCAAACGGGATAAACAAAAATTAAGATTCGTTTCGATCTTGTGAGCACTCTAATGTGCAGGACAATCCGTGGGAGTGCCTTATGGTCTTCCGCCTTCGTTCCTTCAGAACCATGAGTGCTTCTAGAAGCTCCAGATGGTCGTAATCACACCAACGACTAGGAAGCATGGCGGACCAAAACGCGCTTCCGCCGCCTCAAACGATTTCCTAGGGCACCACCACGTGGGACGGAATGCTGGGAGTGGGACATAGTGTGGTGTGGCGGCACAGCGCAGCATGGCATCTCAAATCAACTCATCTCATCACATGTCCCATCCCATCCGACACTACATCCAGGGATCCTGCTCCACCATCTGATCTCGCTTGTCGCATCGCCCATTTCGCTTCACCATCTCGCCACGTCACTCTCCGCGGCCTGGCTGGAACTACTTTTCACGGCGTGACCATCTATCCTGAGCAGCGAAGTTGCGAAGCTTTCGCACGGGCCAGACGCTCTGCAACTGACGCATTGAGTTACCAGACGCTCTTCGTTTTCGTTCGCGTGCTCGCTGGAAAACGAAAATCCCTGAGGGGTGCAGTCGAGGGCGTGAAAATTCGCTTGCTGAATTGCCAAGTCTTGCCTTTCCGCACGCGCCTCGGCTATCCATTTCAACAATTGACGATATGACGTGGCGAAGCTCTGCGGCCTACTTAGAGCACGCCGTTGCTGACCAGTTCCACCAAACGCTTTCGCAGCCACGCATGGTTTATGGAGGCTGAACCGCGATGCGAATGACTCGGAGTGGTCCCGCTAAACCTGGATGCCATGTCGGCAGAACTGTCAGGATAATGAATTTCCTTCGCTGGATGCTTGCGGCGCCCCTGTCAGACAGTAACAACCGTCGATTTGCAGACTGAAGCAACAGAGTCGCTGATGTCGATGACACTGAAAAGAGCAAAGCTGATTCAATTGTGCCTACATGGACTACGCGGCTTGAGTTTAGACCTCACGCTCCAGTCAGCTAGGTGGTTACTGTCAGTGGTCAGATCATTCAGGTCAGACTGCCGCGATGGCAGCTATGCATGGCTAAAAGTACACCAAATGGCATAACATTCTTAGCATTCGTTTCCAGAAACGATGCTAATTATAATGCAAATAAATAAGATTCGACGTTCACGTCGGTAGGGTTGCGTAGAGTTGTATCTCTTGCATTAGATACATTATGATCGAGTACATTATAGTAGTATTTTGCTTATTGAAGCAATTCATTAAGTCCTAAACAGGACAGGCTAGACAGTTTTCTATATCGAAGTTCTATAGATATGGCTTCTCTCAAAATTGTTTTTAGTGTTATTTGATTATGGACCAATTTGGTCATTGATGCTCTTTTGTGGTTTTAATACATGAATTGTTTTCATCAACAACTTCACTCTATTGTTCAATCAGGTTATTATTGGGCGTTTGCAACAGTGTATCTGATGTGTCAGCTAGTTGGATGGCGCTGGGAAGACCTCGCCCGAATCCCTCCGCGAAACCCACTTTGCCCCTGCGGGTTTTCCTCGGAGGGATTTTGGTTTTCCCGCAGTCGCCTAGCGGGGCACGCGAGGGGCGGGAGCCAGCCACCCCGCCCGCCCGAAACGAGCCCGGCCAGCTCGGAGTGGTCCCCGCACGAGCTGGCGATGACGCCAGCTGCTCCCCCACGTCCGTCGAGAAACGCGCCACAGAGCAATTCGACACAGAGCACAGCTGAAACTGGAATAAAAGCGTTTACGTAAACTAATTAAATACATAAACTGCAAAGGGCAAACTTGATAAGGAATAGGAGGCCCTGAGAAACAAGGGCAATCCCTAAAATTCTAATTAATAGCACTATCACCAAAATCAATATTATTCATCCTTCAGAACTGTAAGAAAAAAATGTTTCCATCCATATCGTCATTTCAATAATTGTTAACATCTCTATTGACGTTGGATTACGCTATCGTCTGCACATTAATCAGCTTGGTACTTTTACTGAAAATCATTGAATACCCAGGCCTGAATTAGAACAACTAATAACAACATGATACGATAGTATACGATAGTATACGAAGGAGGTGCAGGTCGACGGTCGCACCGCCAGACACATTGCGCAGATGACAGGTAGGACATGTGTCGACGATTTCGCTACCCGTGCGCCATAGAGCAAGTGATGATGTTCCGCAGGTCGGCTTTTCTAATACCTTCTGGGCGACTTTTGCTCAGAAGCCGGGTATAGCAGTCGAATAACTTTCATCGCCCAGCTCGACACTGCTTGGTCGAACATCGTTCGCCAAGACCACCTCGTCGAGTAGAGCACGTCGAGCAGTGCCCATCGAAGGGCCCCGTCGACCACTATCGTGCACTAGCAATGCGGAGATTCACTCTATAACAGTAGTGGGGTAGACTACTGCTGTTGGCACGAACTACTAGGAGTGATCGTAGCTTTGCTTGGTTCCTTAGCACTTGCGCATTTAAAAGAGAGATTGGCAAGAGTTTCCACTAGCAAGATTGAAATTACGATTCAACAAGCAATGACACAAAACTGACTACATCAGGCACCTAGCAACCCTGCAGCTAGCCTGGTCGACCGCCAGCACAGCTCGGTCGACCGCCTGCTAGCGTTGCGTAAATGAGCCGCGCCAGCACTACAGATTGGCGACCTGCCAACATTGCAGGTCGACGGCGTGCCAACGCTGCAGCAGAGCGGCTGTCCAGCGTTGCCCCGTAGAAGACAGCAGTGCGCATGCTCGCAGGTGCACGCAGACGATTGGCCCGGCTGGCATTGCTGTGCATCCGTCGGCTGTTGTCTGCGCCTGATGAGCCACATCGACTTCGGGATACCAGCCCGAAGTCGCCTTCGTCATCGCGATCTCGACGACGTTCGCGTGCCTCCGCAGAACTCGTCGAGCAGGTTACCCGGTCGACCTGGTCGACCGTCAAGTGCTCTGGTCGACCACCAGGTGCCTCTGGTCGACCACAGCTCCCGTCGAGCTACCCCCTGGTCGACGGATCCCTTCCGTCGACCAGAAATGCTCCGTGGACCTACCGGTCGAGCTGCAGGTCGACGGGATGCCCCGCGGACCTCCCGGTCGAGCTGTAGGTCGACGGGATGCCCCGCGGGCCTCCCCGTCGAGTTGTAGGTCGACGGGATTCCTCTCGGGCCTCCCCGTCAAGTTGTAAGTCGACGGGATGCCTCGCGGGCCTCCCCGTCGAGTTGTAGGTCGACGGGATGCCTCGCGGGCCTCCCCGTCGAGCTGTAGGTCGACAGGATGGTCCGCAGACCTCCCCGGACGGCCCACCCGTTGCCAAGGCCTTTCAATTGCAGCTGTCGAGCTCCCTGGTCGACAGCAACGCCACAGCGGTCCCCTGCAGCTCGACGTAGCCTGTCGAGCAGCTCTCCCACTGTGAACGGTCGGCTGCTACTCCCGTACATCCGCCCAATTCGTCGGCGTTGCCCAAGCGAGGGCGGGGCCAACACTCCATTCCCGTTAACAAGCAATGTCTGTAGACGTCGTCGACCAGATCCCGTCTAGCAGAGCCTGCGCTAGGAATTCCGTCGTCGAGTGGATTCCGTCGTCGACCGGATCCTGTTCTGCGGTAGTAATCTCCTGCGTTTTAGAGTGAACCGATGTGAAAGTAGGTGTTGCGTTGATACGCCATAAAAAGAAGTGTTGTCGAAGAGAGTTTGAACAAGAATCACTGCCATATGTGAATTACCGGCCTTTTCAAATGGTGTAAAAATCATACAATTTGGAAAGCTAGAGTTTGTTGAATATAATATTTTTTCTGTGTTTCCTACATAGAATAATATGGTCTATTCAATGGAATAATAAAATGGAGCTGCCAAACTCTACTGCAACAATAACATCGCTTGTGACGATTGTCCACGTTCATGACATGTATTAACGTATAGTAAAACTCGAGCATTGTTCATTAGTTATGTGATTGTGAGTCTCGATGCTACAAAGTGAAGTGAAACATGGTGCTAGCGGCGATAGATATGCTTGGTCGAGTGAAATAAACTTCTCGACCGTTTTTGCTCTGTCTGTCGAAATCTTTCGTTTTTGACTAATGGGACAATGCGCAGCTTGACAACTTTCGCGCCGAACGCAGATGCTGACTTGCCAAAATCTAGAAACGTGCTTCTGCTGTCGATAATCAATTTCATCGAACAACGTCTCGGTAATTTTGTTTTCCCGAGTGTGAAATCGAAACCTTATCGAATGGGTTTCCCCTGTTCGACAGAAAAATAATGCAGTACTGTTTCGAAAAACATGTGAAAGTGTAAGTGCAAAATTTTTCAATGTGCTTTGTCGAAACGTTTAGCAAGATCCCTAAGTATTGTCGAACATCCCGGAAGCACCTTTTGTCGAACATCACGTTTGAGTTTCCGTCGGAGAAGCGAATTTGAAATGGTGTCGAAGAAGATACACCCTTTTAAAGCCAACTAGGGCTCTGTCGAAGACAGAA